TTTAACGTTTTATTTGACTCTTATATGTCCTTTACAACATTATTTGAAATTTTATAATACTTAAGAGTCCTACGAATCTTTTTATTGTTATATTATTCTAAATTATATATAAATATGTACATGATAATACATAATACATAATTATATATAAATTAAATAAAATTCAATAGTAAATACAATAATAGCCAAACGAAAATGTGCAAGTCGAATGTTTTTGCACGCCAAAATTTATTTTCTGCTATAAAAATACAGCAGTTCTACCTGAAAAATAACAGGAGCCAAGGCATTCTGTTCTGGATAAATGTCTTTCCTTTTCGGTCTTCTTATTGTCGTTCTTAATATCCGTGTAATATCTTCCGAGAGCTGTGAAGTTTTTAGCTTTATGGCTTGTATCTTCTATAACAATCAATATTTTTTTCTCGCTGTACACGATTTTATTTTTGTACCTTTATTTCCGAATTATTGGGCAAATGTTGCTTGGCGTAATGCAGGAGTGCGGTATATCGTGGATCACAAAAATCGGCCTCCTTATGTCCTATCAATTTGTCTCTGCTTAATAAATTCAGCACGCAAGTTTTTAAAGCATCTTCCGTCCACGTTCGGCCGAGAGTGTTCTTGATTTTTGTTTGTAATTTTTTCCACTGTACAATACACACACACACGCACACACACATATATATATAATAATATTTATAATATATTATAACAATAATTTATGATTGTATTAGATATATTACATATATATGTGTAATTTTTTTCCATAATCCAATGCTGTTTTACCTCCAACATTGTTCCACTTTTAGGTTCTTCAACGTGCGCTAAAACGGTGCTCGCTAATACCTCATTTATATGGAGATCAGTTGAACCCAAAATTTGCGTAACGTGAGCAATCGGAGCTCCGCCATCATCGTCACTAGGGTTAAGATAGACATTCAGTTCTCTTGTATTTTTCCTTTTACACTTAATTCAATTGAAAGATATAATTTCACAGTTATCACTACTATTTTGACATATAAAATGAATTTTTATATTTTAATTATAATGATTTTGTATTATTTAGTTTATTAAATATAACTTAATATTTTTTATAATTATAGCTTCATTATTTTTTAAGCGTATGTTTAATATTCAAATTTATTGTTAACAGAAATGAAAATTTCTATGTTATAAGAGAATTGAAAAATTTACGCATTTAAAGTGATGTATAGTCTGAGAAAATCCACGATCGATGATTTTCGGCCGTCTAAGTTCTCGTTCACGTTTCTCAAGCAATCTAACAAAAATTGTACCCAATCGCCATCACCGCTCACATTTGTCAACGTTTGACCTTTGGCAATCAAACCGATGATTGCTGGTAAGGTCGCAAGAAATTCCATACCATCTTCATAGATATACTTAAAATCAAGTAAATGTTTTTTTTTCGTTAACTAATATATAATATTAATACATGTTTGATAAAAATTTTCTATAATAAAAATACATTTATATGTATTTTTATTATAGAAAATTTTTAATTACAGTTTTATGTACAGAAAATTACAACATTCTTTCCCTCTGCTATAATTAGCTCAATTATACAAATTCATAAGTAAAACTATATACTTTATTTTTAGAAATGAAAATTTGATATCTCGAATCAATATTTTTTGCTATTTATATGTATAATTTTATTCATATTTTTAAAATGAGACATAATTACGTTTTTATTCTTATGTTTCAATATTTTATTATGTGTTTTATTAGAAAGAAAACATTTCGATTATTATTATCTGCAATATTAATTTTGTAAGTAATTCTTCGAAGGTTTTTATTTTTATTCAGTAAATTTTTATAATGTCACAACATATCTCCAGTTACCTCCCAATAAGTGTAAGGCATGGCACCGTGCTTTTTAGCTTCTTTCGCCTGTTTGCTGATGTTGAAAATTGTGAGCGCGACCGACAATCTATGCAAGGGTGTAATTATTTCGGGCATTGAACGCAGAACGGAAGCTATTGTTTCGCCGCGTGGTCCCGACCACCATTCTGTACATTTTTTACGCCGTAACGTCCAGTCGGCGATCAATGAAGCAGTTTGCTGTTGTGTAGGAACGTCACCAGTTAGGAGCAGCCAAAACACAGCCTCCGCGCTTGGCGAGTTTCCTTCGCGAGGCAGTAGACCGATCACTTCCGGTATAGTTAATCCACGGTATACGATCTAAGAAGTTTGATTTTTAACGTTAAAGTCTCTGTCTCTCTTAAAGAAGAAAATTGTGTAACCTATGAATCGCAAACATTGCTTGAAATTTTTAAAAATTTAATATCTGATATATTTTTACGAAATTTAAAGTTTTATAAAAATGAAAATGTTTAACTAATAAGAAATAAGATCCGTATAAATATACAACATACATATGATAGAGAGCGCCAAAGATCGGTCAAAGTTAGATGCTATGAATACAATATATATTTTCAATTTTTAAATTTAATTATCTCAAATATGACTGTGCGCCGAAACATTCGGACATTAATCACAATCGATGTGAGACACTAATAATATAAGGTGCTGAAACATTCGGACATTCCTACATATAAAATAATCCCCTCTAAATTATTTCGCTAAAGAAAAATATTACCTCATATCCTGGCTAAGGTAATATTTTTCGCAATAAATTCTTTAGCGAAATAATTTAGGGGGGACTATTTTATATATAGGAATGTCCGAATGTTTCGGTTCCTTATATTATTAGTGTCTCACATCGATTGTGATTAATGTCCGAATGTTTCGGCGTACAGTCATATTTGAGATAATTAAATTTCAAAATTGAAAATATATATTGTATTCATAACATCTAACTCTCTCTTTGACCGAAAAGTTTAACAAATTTATAAAACTATATCATCTTTTACATACGCACACATTTGAAAGATAAAGTATATACTATCTTTAATATATATATTTTTTAGTATATATCATCATTTATTTTATTAATATATCTATTGTAATGATTCCTTTAATAATTTAAAAATATCTTGTCTCTTAATGATTAAACATTTTATGATTATTACACCATGTTTAGGATCAAGTTCCGAGGTTTCCTTGACGATAGTTTTTATATCGTTTAATCCCGTGTACAGGTTTTCGACCGTGATTTGACTGACAACACTTGGACCGAAGTGAAGTCGAAAGTTTCTCAGAAGATCGTGGTGCACGGGAATCTTCTCGCAGAGGGCTTCCTTTAGATTTGTGCTCGTACTGGGTTCTCCTCTCGTTTTGCTCACCTTTGGATGACAGATTCCATATTCATTGTATTTTTCGGAAGACTGTTTATATCTCAATTAAATTAAGCGGCGCCGCTTTGATAGGATTCGCGAACTTTGCGAATTAGTCATTCGCGCGATCTCGCGTACTTTGACAAATTAGTTCCAACCGTCAGTACGTGTCGTTCGCCCGTTCCAAAGTTGACCTTTCTGTCGCCCGGAAATTGCGTGATGCAACTTCTCCTTCTGTTCCACAGAACGAATAGGTAGGCTTTTTCACACCGAAGTCCTCTCGACAGACGTAACATCTTTCGTAATAATTTGTTCAATCAAATCCAAATTAACGGTTAATACGCTACGTGGAAAGTATATAAGATGAAGTAACGATAACCTCTTTTGTAATAACTTGAATTTATGTTTTATACCAAATTAAACGGAGAATTTTTTACATATGTTAAATCATCTTAGAAACATTTTGACACATCAGTCCAAAGAAAAATCAGAAGCGAGACCTTGAATGCGTTTACTTCAAGCAGTCTTCTTCTGTTCAAGAAGACTTCTATGTGCATATCATTGAAAAATAAAAATAAATAACTCAAAAATGACGTTAAAGTATATCGTAATTTATTAAAAAGTTTTGTAATTATTTTGGAATCTTTTTAACGTCATTCTAATGTCATGATGAGTTATGTTCTGCTCGAGAAAAGTCTAATCTAAGAAACACACAAAAATTAACAAAAAATCAAAATGACTTAATTTTAATTCTTAATGTCAATAAATAGTCGAACAAAAAAATCGTTATTTCGACTTCCATGACGTCAAAATAAAGTCATTTTGACTTTCTCTTGACTTGATGTGTTCCTTGGAAATGGGCTTTCTACAGTAATAAACAGTTAGTCAACAATAAGTCAGTAATCAGAATGACTAATCAAATTTTATTTTTTACAATTAAAAATTTTTTATTTAAGTTACTTTATGATTGACTTTATAATTGTTTAATCATACAGTGTAAATATCATTTTCCCCGAGCACTATCATTCTTCTGATTGGCTGACATATTATGACGTAACAGTTTAAAATGATTTATTCTGGAAGTAAGTTCCCTAAGATTTATGACTTATAATTCTAACTTGTCACTAACATGATATAAGTAGTGACTAACGGATTACGGTAGAAAGCCCATAAAGTTTCGCGAGTAGAACGTGCCGGCTTTTAACGAATTAAAAATTAAAATAAAGTAGACGTTTAGGCGACGTGTAGAAAAAAATGATATGCCACGTGCTAATGTCTCACTGGCGTTTTTATTGCGAACGTCATGCATGTGCATACAAAATAAGGGATTACGTATCACTCTGCCGGTCGTTCCCATGCTGTCGTACTCGCGCCGGTTACAAAACGGTTAACTGGCGTTTGTGCAAATTGAAATTGAGCGATCTTACGTATCTTTTATGCCCCTGTCATATATATGTGATACTCTTTAACATGTGCATTCGAGCGTTCGAATGTAACAGATAATAATGTCGATGAGACGCTCTCTCTATTGCTGGTGTCACCGATGTGTGGCATGCGACAGTATTAACGCGTTGCGATGAGTCACGGGGGATGCGTCTTATCTCGAGAAGGACCTAATGTAGAAATTACGTGCACATAGCATCCTTCGTAGAGTACATACAAACGGTAACAACGCTAACACACGATATATGCCAGTATAATCTATGTATATAACATGTCGATAATGTATTATAACGATTACACGTTCCTCGCGATCGACTGACCGTTAGATTGATAACCAATTAACTCTTAACAGCATAGTAAAATATATGTATATGTATATGTACTATTGCTTCGTTCTCATCGAGTACCTACCTACTGCGTGAATATAATTAGGCCGAACGCGGGAAAGGGTTGAGCTGAGAGGAGTTCCGCGCTGCATTTCGCTACCTTCTTGTCTCATTTAATCATCGAAGTTTTTTTTTTTCTAATTTTTATGCTATTTAATAGTCTTCTGAGCATTCTAACGCGTGTCAACTTCTATAGACGATCTCATTTCCGTCTAGAGATATCTGCACAACTCATTGAAAATCGGTATACACATGTAAAAGTAATTTTACTGCGTAAAATTGATTTGTCTAGGAAATAATAATTATCATCGTTTTAATATTGTAATATTACTATATTAGTATCGTAACCGACGACCTACGCATAAAGGAAGATTGTTTAAATATGCAAATGCGATTAACGTGAATAATACAAAATTTTAATACTGCGGGAAGAGACAGGTCCTTTCCGTTGAATCGATGGGATTTCATCGAATGAGCCCCGCTAAATTATGCGCGAAATCTCCGATATATATAATATTCGGCGATTAAATCGCACGTCGCAGCGAATTCGCCGTTGGCATAAATCTCGATTATTATTGTCGCTTATTTCGAAACTTGTTATTTCACTCGTCCACTCGCTCGCGTGATTGTGCACGTTGTAGACTCTTGTGCAGTCTTAGAAGAGTCACCCCCCGATGTACGATGTATTCTACCACTCTTGACTCTCGTGCCTCGAGTGACATGCTCTTCGAGTTGTCATTACTCTGGTTTCATTGCTCGCGGGCAAGTACGATACACGATATATGACGTTGCATTGTATGATCGACTGCCTCGTAACAGGGAAGCGATTTGGTCTTAATGTCAGAGAAGAATGCACCTCTCGCTGGTATCGTGCTGATGGGATCGCATCGGTTGCATGGCCGCGGGTGATGGCGAGTTCGGCCTACCTTCTATTGCCTGTATGCTCTTCATCAGTTCCCGAAATACCTGTCAATCAAAAGATATCGAAAAGTTGCTGTAGTCTTCCTAACTCGTATCACAATCTCTTTTAAGATGCAAATAATTGTTCTGTAATTGAAGTTATGCGGATTAATTGTGAATTTTGAAGAAATGGACAGAGTAAGGAAAAGACCGGAAGTCTTCAACGAAACACGCTTTTGAAATGTGGTTTGTTGCAAAAGTTCTTCGTGTACATGTTAAGAGAAACCCAAATCCTAACTTTAACATCCTTTAGTTCTTTTTTAATTATAATAATAAGTATACAAATTTTCAAGTCATTGAATTGATTAAATACTTAGGAAGATGATAGACCTATTGTCAATTTTTTAAAAAACAATAAGTTGTATCTGAAGTTAAGATTTGGAATTCGTATAAAAGCTACCTTTCAATAAACTACATTTCAAAAGCGCATTTCTATATCTGGTCCTTCCTTTAAACTTTAAAAAAATTCTAAATATGTTAAAAAAATTTTACGAAAATTCTAAAAAAACTGGAAATCCCGAGTTTATTTTCAATGACGAGCTCTTCTCGATGAATTTTTCGACGTCGATATTTCCTCTGCGAGCATTTCAGTAATCTCGTTTCAATACTCGTAATTTTCGTATTAAATATTAAATATGAACGGTATTTGAGGTGCATATTAAAATTTTAAAGGAGTTAAGTTAATCTTAATACGAATGAGATGCAGATTGGCAGCAGGCAGGTTGATAAATAATGTATATCGCGCACCTGCACTACGCGACAGTTAAATCTGGCACTGCACTCGACGTAACCACATCTCCAGTGTTTCCGGACGAGGTTCACGATGTCCCTGTACCTGGTCCCAGAAGCGACGGTCTGTGACAGTTCGTCCTGCTTGTTCCCGACCACCAGCAATGGTACGCCTCTCATGTCGCGCGCCTCATAGATTTGCTCGCGTAACGTTCTAATATACTGAACACAATTTCGGTCGGAAATTAAAGAAAAATATACCTTTCACGCGCGTTGGGCCACTTGTAGTAGCATATTCAAAAAATTTTATCTTTGGTAAACATTAAATTATTGAAGACACAGACACTGTAAAATCAGATATAAGACACATTTCACAACAAATTGTTCAAATTTTAATAAAAAATCAATATTGTGATAAACTAACAGATACTATTATAAAATAGAAAACAAATTAAAATGTTAAGGCTCTAAATTTTAATGTCAGAAGTTAGAATACTTTTAAACAAAGTAAATACGAAGGAAGATTCTTCTCTTGCAGTCGCTAATTACTTATTGTATTATTTCATTTCTCGTTTAATAATGTTATCAACGTCACGGTTTTTCATTTATACTTTTGACTTATTATTAGCAAAATTGATTTAACGTCATTTAACTTGCGCTACGTTTTGTTCTCGAGAGACCATCTTTCGTCATCCAGACAAACATCCACATAATCAAACTTTTATGCCAGCAACTTTGATGCGACTTCAAGTCGAAAGTCGTGACGGCTTTCGCGAGAAGGAAAAAGGCTTGCAAGAAAAACTTAACAAAAAAGATATAAGCGCGAGCTCCGTTTGCCGTGTTTCTGACGTTCTTTCCGAAGTTAAAGTTCTGTCCTGCAAGTGGTCTGCTCGCAATTTATCGCGATTTTAACATTGAATTTCAATTATACGTACCTGAAACGTGTCCTGATTACTGAGATCAAATACAAGCACGTACGCTGTTGCACTCCGCAATCCATAATATCGAAAGTCTGTCCATTCCAAGTGCGAACTGACCGGGAAGTACGGGATGGTGGGCAAATCGGTGATCTTCAATTCGTATAATCGATCGGCCAGCACCACGCTCGGATAAAATGTCTCCCGCCTCTCGGTCGGTCTGTACTCCTCGGAAAACTCGCTCCAGACGAATTGCTACAAGCGTAAACAAATATCGCATATTCGTAAAAATAATTACGGATTCGGAGCCTACTCTCTAAATTCTTTGAAGTGGAATCTCATTCTATCATTCTAAAGAGTAAAAATTGAGCCATTCTTGGAAAACAGTGGCTCAATTTTCAATCTTTAAAAGTAAAACTTTTCTTTTCAGAGAGATAGATATTATTATTACATGGAAAGAACGTTTTATTGAAGTATTTAAAATTTTACTGAAGTATTTAACTTTGCTGAAGTATTTAAAATTTTAGTTACTTTCTAAATCTTTTGAAGCGAAATCTCCAAAAGATTGAAAATTAAACCAGTCTTGGAAAAAGAGTGAAAATATTTTCACTCTTAAACAAGAGTGGCAGATTTTCATTTTTTAGGAATGAGATTTCATTCTTTTGGAGCAAGATTTCACTTTTTTGGAGTTAAAGTCATTCTAAACTAAGGAATGAAATCTCTTTCCAAAAAAGAAATGAATTTGCATTTCTTTGGAGTGAATTTTACTCCAAAAGGGTGAAATCTTAAAAAAATAAAAATCTGCTATTCTTGTTCAAGAGTGAAAAAGTTCTCACTCTTTTTTCAAGACTGGCTCAATTTTTATTTCAAGAGATTTAAATAGTAGATATATAGATCTAAAAACAAAAACAACCGTTTTTATTGTTTAAAAACAAAAAATTTTGTTGGATCATCAAAATAATAAGTATGTAGGGGATTTTCAAACATGACGTGCAATGTTGCAAAAAATTTTGACATTC